ATGAAAAATTTTGATGTACATAATTGAATCGTTACCCTCTGAATCGTAATTGCATAGTATCACTGTCCGTGGCACAGCAGCCTTCAGTATTGGTAGGCTATTACTCATGAAATGTAACCAATTACTTAATGTTTTGGGGGCGGGACACTGAGCGAGGCTACAGAGTGGTGACTGCAGACAGAGGCAGGTGGTGGCATCAGAGCCACAGTAGCTCATTTTTCACTTCATTTACTTTATCAGCAAAAGAAAAAAAATCTGGGCCCGTATTCACAAAGAATCCTAAGACTAAACGTAGCTCTTGGTGAAATCATTCTAAGAAAAATCTTAGAATTCCTCGAATTCTAAGATTTTTATTAGAATTTTCCCTTGGTAAGAAAAAAGTTATTCACGAAGCATCTTAGGCCTTAAGAGAGCTCCTAAAGTGAAAAACTGTTAAGAGGAGGACTTTTAAGAAGCCTAAACAGAGAAGATGGTGGAAAGACAGAGAAGAAGGAGAGATATTCTCCGTATATTGAACGACAGTGATTTAATAAGACGCTACCGGCTTGATCGTGCAGGGATAATGCTTGTGGTTGATCCCATTAGGGATGAGCTTACTTTTCCCACCCAGCGTAGTAACACAATAACGCTCGCTTTGGATTGCAGCATGTACCAGCGCTTCTCGCACTCATCGCTCGTGCGTGAAAGGAGAGGGAACGACGCATTGATTTGTCGGGCAACGCGCTCCCAAGTCTGCCTCTTCTCTTGTGCCGTGATCCCGGGACCGAATTTCCCTCTTAAAACTCCTTTGTTCTCCTCCACGAGCTACGCCAACAGCAGGCACTGCTCTTCTGTCCAGTTCGGCTTTCTCGTTCTTTTTTTCTCCATTTCGTTCATTGTTTTGGTCATTCTGCCAAATCAAACTGCTTTTTACAAGGTGGCCAGCAATTACAGTAATTGCTGACAGCTGAGTCTGCGTCCACCATTAATATCAAATAGATTAAGTAGTAAAATTACCAGCATGGCGAGTAAACATAACAATAAGCAAATCAATATAATAATCGGCATGTGAATGAGGTAGCCTACGTTCAAACATTTTTAAGATGTGTAAAAATTAATTTAATTTTGCTGAGTTTCATCATCATGACATAAAATTATTTTCACGATTACACATTTCTTAATACAGTCTAAGTTCATACGTCACACGACACGTGGAATATTAGAGAATTCCAAGATTTTCTGTCTAGGATTAATTTGCCGGAATTATCTGGGCCAGTTGGGGAGGAGCTGGGGGGACCCATCACCTTAGGAGAGGTCCGACAAGCCATTAAAGACCTTGCTGCTGGGAAATCTCCGGGGGGTGATGGGCTCCCCACAGACCTCTACAAGGCATTCTCAGATCTGCTGGCTCCAAAGCTTCTCACTGTATTTCAGGATGCGTTCCAGAGGGGAAGTCTACCAGAAAGTATGCAAGATGCAATAATAACACTAATTCACAAAAAGGGTAAAGACCAACAAATGTGTGGGAGTTATAGGCCAGTGTCCTTGATAAACGTGGACGCAAAGATCCTCGCTAAGATTTTAGCGACAAGGCTAGAGAGGTACCTACCAACACTGATCCACCCAGATCAGGTGGGATTTATCAAGGGCCGGACATCAGCAGATAATTTACGTAGATTGTTGCATCTCATATGGCAAACAAGAAATAGTGCAAAACCGATGGTGGCTTTCTCTCTGGATGCAGAGAAAGCGTATGATAGAGTGGAGTGGGAGTATTTGTTTGCAATACTTGAACGGTTTGGGATTGGTAGTGCATATGTTAAATGGGTAAAGCTGTTGTATAGATGGCCAAGGGCATCTGTCCTCACAAATGGGATTCTACTCCTTTTAACCTGTTACGTGGGACCAGGCAGGGCTGCCCCCTGTCCCCTCTGATCTTCGCCCTGGCCTTGGAACCACTAGCAGCAGCCATCAGGGGCCACATCAATATTCAAGGCATAGTTGCAGGACAGAAGGAACACAAATTGCTTTTATATGCGGATGACATTTTATTGGTATCAAATAACCCAGAAACTGCAGTTCCACAGATCCTGTCGCCCCCGAGTATTCGTAGTAAATGGTAATTTAAGTGGCTTCCAACCGGACTGGTTTATTTAGGTATTATGATTACACCTGGATTGGAAAACATAATGAATGTAAATTTACTGCCCCTTATCCAAAAAATTGAAAGTAACTTATTAAATTGGGCAAAATTGGGTCTGTCACTGATAGGTAGGATAAATATCTTAAAGATGATTGTAGTACCACAGATGAATTATGTAACATATATGCTACCTCTGGAGTTTCCTCCCCCACTTCTTGCTAGATATAACAGAGCCATAAGTAGTTTTCTATGGGCAAGAAATCCTCTTTTAATAAAAAGAAACTGTATGCATCAGTGAGAGAGGGGGGGCTCGGGTGCCCAAGAATAGATTGGTATCATTATGCCTTCTCACTAAGTCAGTTATCTAAATCAAATCTATCAGAGGCCTGTGCTCCTGCATGGGTAGCAATGGAGAAAGAGCTAGTGGAGCACTTCTCGATACAAGCTTTTCTTACTCAGACAGGAGGGGATATACCTTATAGAAACCCTGTGTTGGCATTTGCTAGAGACAGCTGGAGAAGAGCTCATCAGATTTGTAACTCAAATCCCTATGATACCAAGGGGTCATCAATATGGCATAATAAGTCATTGAAAATTAATAAGAAGTCTATCATGTGGGTAAATTGGGTGGGAGCAGGAGTAATGTTAATGGAAGACCTGTTTGATGGGAAACACTTACTCTCCTTTGAACAGCTGGTGTCCAAATATGACATACCTAGAAAGGATTTTTGGAAATTTATGCAAATGAGAAGTTGTATAACAACAGCAGATAGAAAGAAACATCTTGCCCCTGTCACGGATATCCAGGAGTTGTGGCGATCGAGCTGGAAGCTTAGAGGGGGGACATCCAGGTTTTATAATGTGCTTAGAGAACATCAATCACCAAACTATGAGGGTGTCAAACTGACTTGGGAAAAAGACCTGGGAACACCTATTCAAGGGGAAAGCTGGAGGAAAACAGTACAATCGTGGTATTCCACAGCCTGGGACATGCAAACATGCTTAATTACTTTTAGAATAATAAATAGAAATTATTGGACTCTAGCAAAGATGTCGAGGCTGGGACTAAGGCAGGACGACGAGTGTTGGAGGTGTGACAAAGGGAGGGGCACGTTGATCCACATGTTATATGAATGTAAAATGGTACATGACATCTGGTCAGCGGTTGTCAGATGTATCAACAGTATATTGGGAACAGAGTTCACAGAGGGTCCAGCATTATGTATATTAGGCATCATACCAATAGAAGCCAACTTGTCTGCACATACGTGTTCTTGGGTGAAATTAGCCCTCCTAACAGGAAGCAGGATAGTGCTTAGGCATTGGAAGTCAAGAGAGAAGGTCAGTTTTAAGGAATGGAGAGATGAACTGGCTAAAATAGCTTCTTTTGAGTAGCTTATTCACAGAGTTAACAACAGTCTAAGTGTGTTCAGAAAAGTCTGGGACCCCTATCTGGAAATGATGAATAGAGAAGATTGCCATGATAACTGAAATCCATGTGGAATGTCCATGATGTATGTGTATTATCTTGTAATGCTCAGTAGATGAATGTGAAATGCAATGTTGTATGAGGAAATGTGGTAATGTATATATTGTCAAGAGGAATGTGCAGGTTCTCTCTCTGGTTTTCTGTTTTCTGTCTTTCTCAGTTTGGTTTTGTATTGCTGTAAATGGACATATTGACATGTAAAATGTGTGATCAAGTGGTGAAAAGGCAATAAAAAAAAGTTTAATCGTAAAATACAGTCTAAGTTCTATGATTGGTTGATTTCACTGTCCATTCATTACTAGGAGCGCATTTGTTTTTGTTTTGTTTTTTTCTTTTTTCCTTTTTGTTAACAACCAATCACAGCTTTTAGAAGACTGCGTCATACCTAGGAACGGGGTCAATCACACCTCCTCACTAAGATAAAAGTGTCTGTCCCCTCCTTGCTCAGAGTTGTTCTCAGAAACTTCCTGAATCACTCTTAAGCTAAGATTCCTTGCTAGTAATTTTTAGGCTAAGTTAGGAGCTCTCTGAGAGGACTCTGAGAATCTTTGTGAATACGGGCCCTGATGATCATAAAAATGCAGAATATCATGGCCTATAATCAGTCAATCCCTACTTTTAATAGTAATGGTGTCATCAGTGTTCCAAGGTTTTTTATCAGTTGTGTGGACTCAAGTCACATGACTTGGACATGAGTAAAATTTGAGATTTGATGACTTTGATGAGAGCCAACTTGACAAAATCAAAAAAGATTTGCAACTCCACTTGGACTTTAACACCAGTGACCTGTGACTTCACTTGGACTTGAACCTTTTGACTTGAATATACTTGATACCTTCCCCCAAGCCCAAAGATTAAAAAGCGTGTTAAGAAATGTGCTGTGAATCATTTAATTTTCCTTCATTTCCTGAATCGACTAATGTTAAAGCTATTCATTCCCACCATTCAAAAAGTACAGACACTTATCAATTTCCAACAAATCTGATTTAACCAAAAAAATAATAATAATTAAAAAAATAAATAAAAAATTATGACTTTTGTAAATGTAATGTCATTATTCCCTTGTTATAACAGCATGGCATTTGGTGAAGAAGGCAGTATGACTTGTTTAAGACTTGTAACTAAAAGTTTCAGACTTGGGACTCGACTTGGGACTTGATGCAAAGTCTCGAGACTTACTAATGACTTGAAAAAAAATTTAAATTTACACTCTTAGTACCTATATTTAAAGGTGTTTGTGGTGTAGTGTATGTATTTGTGTTTGTGCAGCAGAAGTGGCAATTCTCTGAGGAACATACTGAACACTGACATACCCTCTGCCCTCAGCACTAAAAAATGATATGATATTAATAATTAGAATTAGTGCATAAAATGAGTGCATGCGAGTACCTTGAGGTCAGACACCTCTGTGTAACACTGCTCGGAGCGAGTGTGATCAGACAGCTGGACGTTCCAGAAGCAGGGCAGCTGGTGCACCAGGACCGGGTTCTGTTTTATGAAGGCGTTGAAGATGTCCTACAGAAAGACATGCAGACAGACAGACAACAAACAACTTTAAGAACACTTCAAGCAGCTCTACTGGTTCTGCTGGGTTCTGTATGTGGGCAGTCATGGACACACAGAATGGTTCAGTGTTCTCGGGATACAGGAAACAGGACTGCATTTATTAAAGTGTGAGTCATTAAGGTCTTATAGATACAGCAGTTTGACTGTTGGAGGCATCAGAAAGAAAAGCCATATTATCTCTTTGCTGGTTTCCTGGCAACCTCTGCCTTTATTTTACTCTGTGCTCCCCATGTGAAGGCCGCATTGTGTATTTGAAAGTGCAGTCAAGGTCACTGGTTGGAGCTCAGTAAACACTATAAGTACTGGATTTATGGCTGTAAATAGACTGAGAGCAATGATGCAGCACAGATTTAAAAAAGAAAAAAGAAAGAAAATCATAGTTTTATAAAGTACACTCCAAATGATAGTGATGCATCCAACCTTTCTGAACTGTATAACAAAGAATACTGTTGTGGAAGGACTTTTCACCTTAACTGGGGACTAGAAGTTGGATGTTGTGTACAAATGCTGTTCAACAAATATGAACCCAATTGGCCTAATGGTGGTGCTATAATTAATTAACTGAACAATTGAACTTTGACTAAAAAACCTTGATATTGGAGTGTGGCTTTAAAGATAAGATAGCATAGATAAGTTTGACTTTAGGTTCATTTTTAAACGGTAACGCCAAGGCCACACTGCCTTCTTGAGCAGCATGTAACAGCTACCTCACTGAACTACTGACACTCACTTCACCTGCTGCTATGAATACAGTATTTCCACAATTAAAGCTGGTAATCCATTACTTTGTGGAGTGGTGTAGCCACTGCATTGTCAACAACAATTGATTTACAAATATGCTTGACTTATGCTCGCATAACAAAAATCAGACTATAAATGAGAAATTGTTTGCCTAGTCATTACAACACTTGCAGACCAAAGGAGAACATGACCCGGTGGAGATTTGGTCGTAAATGAGTGACAATCTGTCTAATCGTCATAAAACCTGTTAGTTATTTTTCATGCAGGTGTCATTAACTGTCGAAGGTCTTGATCCTTCAGAGATTTAAGCTTTTAATGGTCCATGTTGGCTTGAACCCTGGAACTGCAGCTTGTAGCTGTATCTATTATTTTATAATTACATTTAGACAGGGTAATCATATTCACATTGGATTCTTGTATGACTGCCGTTGAAAAACAGACTTATATACCTCAAAGCAAGATGTTTTGTATCAGTTTTAAAATTTAGGTATACACAACCCTACTTTGGACAAACTAATTAACTAATAAAACTATGTACTTAACCCATAAAATCTAATAAACTCATTGATAGATCTTAATGAGGTTTCTCTTTTTTTAAGCAGTTAAATTCTTTTGTGAAATGCTGCAAAGCTCTCCAAGGCAGATTTGCGATTTTAAGTTTATATAAACTAAATTAAAACTGCATGAATCTGATGCCACTCTGTGTAACTGACACTGAGCTGTGTGTGGTTACAAAGAGTGCTTTTTATGTGGTTATGTCACACAGTTATCTCGTGTAAAAGTTAGTTCTTGACCTTAGTTGCTCAGTTTGCTCCACCTGCTGACACAGGCTATTCGATAAGACTGAAAGTGGACTTTTAGTTGAGATTGCTTTGTCAAACTTGTTTATATTTTTACTACTATCTAACCTTTTTCTTTTTCAATAATTTCTGCATTGGTACAGTATATGTATGTGCTGTGCATAAACATACAAAAGATATACAAGCAATAAATACGGATTCAGAAAGATTTTCATCCACTTGTATTTCTAAATATTTCATCGGGCTAGAAATGATATGTGTACTTTGTAGCTGCAGTGTATGGAACAAACTGCCAAAAACAGTTGGGTGAACAGAATCTGCAGCTATTAAAACAAATCAATCTCTTTCACTGTGCTGCCTCTCAGTGTGACTGATATGGTTTATGTTTTTTGTTGCATCTGAAAAAACAGTTTCAGTCTTTCCCACACTTAAAGGGGACATGTTGTGCTCAATTTCAGGTTCCTACTTGCATTTGGGGTTTCTACTAGAACATGTTTACATGCTTTAATGTTCAAAAACACTTCATTTTCTATATACTGTCTGTGCTGAACACCTGTATTCTCCCTCTGTCTGAGACTATTTTCACGCCTGTCTCCTTAGCTCCTCTTCCTAAAAAAAAAAAAAAAAAAAAACCCAGTATGCTCTGATTGGCCAGCCTTTGCATGTCTTCCATATCTCAGTGTCTCTGCACTGTCATTGTAGCTGGGTGGCTGACTGTAATGAAGAATAGCAGCACTTTCTTCAGTGAAAAATTACAGGTTAATTATTCTTAACACAAGTGGACATGTTCCATCATGTATGATCTGAAACTGGGGAGAAATTAAAAACATCAGCATCCAAGATTACCTTTCACTGACGTTAGCATGTGGCTACATGTAGCAGTGTATGTAATTGCAGTAGCATGCCTGGAGCAGATGACCATATCATTAAATTCACTGTAAGCTCACGTCTGCTTGTAGCAAAGAAGAAAAACAGAACAAACAGAGAGACATGTTTCACAATGTTCTCAGAAGATTAAAGGTGTACCTCACCTGGTCAGCCAGCGATGTACTGAGCATGCTCATCAGCTCCCTCTCTGCTGTCAACCGCCACATCTGCTCCCAACCGATTCGCCGCAATCGCTCCAAGTAGAGAAGAATTACGCCTGTGAAAAAAGGAGAACAGAAAATAACAGAAAATAACTCACGCTTATAATTTCACTTTCTACTGGAGAATTTACATGTCTCTTCACATTAAACTGTGACTGCAGGTAAGACACCTCAGCTATCCAAATATTGCAAACAACTTCAGTCAGCCTCCGGAAACACTGTTGAGCTTGAGCTGCGTCTCTTTTTGGTAGCGAACCCATTCCTTTTGTGAGATCAAGTAATTTTTTCTCTTTTTAATTTTATATACTTTATAATCCCCCTGAGGGGAAATTCAATTTTTTCACTCCGTTGTCATTAACACACAGGTCTGAAATACACACACGTGCACAAACAGGATCTACACATGCACAAAGTGGAGAGATGTCAGAGTGAGGGGGCTGCTTTGGTCTGGGTTCCCAACCCTGGTCCCTATGGACTGAGCTACTGCCGCCCCAGATTGTTTCTTTTAAACCAAAAAGTCAGTAAGGATCTGTCCAGAAAAGCAGCTCTTACCTGTGTTGAAGCCTCGTCCCAACGCAGGCCAGGGTTTGTGGTTCTTCCACAAGTTCCCTAGGTACCAGTCGCTCTGGTTCTCCACCAGGCCGATCACCTGTTTATCTGCAGACAACACAACCAACATCACTGATGAGCAAACACATCAAGGTGTTACTGATTTATTTTTTGCAACCTGTGCCCACAGTTTCACAAAATAAATTCTATAATAAGCATGCGGCAGTTACATGAATAATTGAAAGAAATACATTTCTTTGGTTCGCTGATACTTTGTAGGCATGTTGAACAGCAACATGTTAGGTGTAATACCAATTAAATAATCCCTGAATAGGAAATTCTGAAGTAAAAGATTATTTTCAGTCCCATTTGTTTGTTTATCTCATAAAGTACAGATTTTAACCAAGCAACCTTTTTTAAACCCACATTCTTTTTTTTCTGAAACTTCTCCCAGTCAGATTTCTGTCAGTGTTCATTGTTCAAGAGGTTTTTACTGGGAGCCAAATTATCCACAGTGGTCTCTTCCTCGCCATAACAAATGGATCTGGTGATTTAACTGGCAAATACACTGTATACAGCATTTTCACATTAAAAAATGTGTGTTTTATCAACGCCTTTGTCGTAGAGGGGCCATTGACTATGGTGGCTGATGCAAAAACATGAATGTCCCTATCTATAGCCAGTGTTTGGTTTGTCCAATCTGGGCTACCGTAGAAACATGGCGGTGCAATGTGGTGATCTCCATAAAAAAGGAGCCACTCCCTGTGTAGATATGTATTAATGGCTCATTATAAGGTAACAAAAACACAAGGATTTTTATTTTCAGGTGCACACTAAAGAAAACATACTACATCCCTAAAAATGTGATGCTTGAACTTAGCATCCTCCTACAAAACTGTCACCACAGAGCTAAAATTCAAAGACAGGATTTCTTCAATACAGCACAAAATCCAAAATGTCTCACCGGTGAACTTCCTAAAAATGCCCCAGAGCTCAGCGATGTCGGTGGCGAAGGTGATGTCCGTGTCAAGGACGATGACCTTTGATAGGTCTGAGGGCAAAGCTTTGGTTAGCGTCAGCTTCATCAAGCCGTAAATACCTGAGTAATGTTTGTTGGGTATCCACGACACCTCCGACTAAAAGGACAAACATGAAAACAAGATACATTTTATTTTCATTGTAAATCTTTAGCTTTCATTTATACATTTAAAAGCCATCTTTTCTTTCTAAACTGACTGATGAATCCAGTGTTCATTTTATATGAGCTGTGTGGGTTAACACAAAGCCACATTCAGCATATTTTGTAAAAGGCTCAATGTGTTTTTTTCTCTGAATCTGCAAATAGTGTCTTTTAATTAATTCTCTTGATTCAGAGTAATTGGATCTGCATAAGTGCATCATCTGCAAATATAATCGGCTTAGAGTCTCGCGTGTTTCTCTCCAGTTTAATGTAAGTTAATGAAAACTGAAGAGAGAGGCTGCAGGTCGAAGCATCTGACAGAACAAAGGAGTCATTGTTCAGCACAAAGACGGTGAGGGAGGAGAATGTGATGATGTGAAGGAGGGGGATGAAGGTTGGAGTCACACACACACACACACACACACACACACACACACACACACACTTATCCATGCTCATTCCTTACATTGGCATCACTCTTGAGTGCACATTCATCAACTTGACGTTATAATAAATGATTTGGTGTTTTTGTGCTGAAGTGTCACTTGACTTTGGGAGAAAAGTGTTTCAACAGCTCGTCCAACTCAATTACAGATTGCTGCTGTCAAGTGAAAACCTCAACCCCTCCATTGTGGTGATTGTCGTGGTTTAACTTTAAGCAGGGTGTACCACTCAAAATCTGTGAGATTGACTCTTAAGTAATTTGTAGTCACAATGCACTCCATACGGTTGTTAGAGACAAGGTTTCTTTCAAAAACACCAGGAAGCAAATTTTACTGGTCAGTTGATAACCTTGTACTCTTTTATCTTTTCTGTGGTTTTGTTAAGTCAAGTGGAACCTCAGCACGCTTGTATTAAAGGGCTTTTATTCTTCAATTTGTCTTTCTCAGCGTTAGCTTGGATGCATGAATGAATTAAAGATTTTTGGGCAAAATCCAAAAGGAATTTGAATCATTACAGATACAGTTGGTAACTTTTATGAAAAAACAAACTTTGTGTCATATTTGCTGAAACTGTCATTATATTCTTAAAGAAGTACATGACATAAGCTCTTTTCAAACAGAGATCACAGTAAAGAGCTGCTACCAAACCAAACAACAGTGGCATCATTTGGCTTCAGTGTGTGATTTTTGACAGCATGCCAGCATCATGATAACAAATGAAGCGTTGACAGGTGTGACATGTAAAGTGGGCTTTATACTGTTGCGTAAAATCGATGCCGTACCTATGCCACAGCCTGACATACCTACATAATGTAGGTATGTAACTATATGTTGTGGTGACACAGACCTCCTGTCAGTGAAGCAGACCTCCTGTACATTTTTGTAAACATAAAACCATTTCCCTAAGTGTAAACAAACCTTTTATTAACTTTTATTTTACAGATAAGAAACAATTAATTGTGAAGACAATAAAGCATCCACAAAATAGCATTTTTAGACTTGTGTGTGATTTATCCTGGCTTTCTCTGCTACACAATAGTCTAATTCATACAATGTCAAATAACATAGGCTTGTGCTAGTAACATTAGCATGTTGCATTTGTTTAAAAAACGTTTTTAGTATAAGACAGTTGTTTTGTCAGTGAACCTTGTGAGTTGTAATGGAGCCAAATTGTGTAATGTTACCTTCGTTAAATGTTGCTGTTGTCCCTGGCTTCATGTGAGTAGAGGAAATCTTTGTTAGCCCCTAGGCTAATTTATATAATGTAAAATGCCATAGGCTTGTGCTAATAACATGAGCACGTTGTATCTGTGGGGAAAATGCGTCCAGCAAAAGACAAGTGCTTTGTCCTTGAATCCTGCGAGTTATAGTGAAGTCGATTTGTGTACTTGTCATTGAAATTGTCTCTATTAATTTATTGTGTGTTTTGGGTGTGTTCTGAATCAACTAAACATTACAGCACTTCACAGAAATCCCATCACCAATTAGTGTGTTGGAAGTGTAATTGCAGAGTGACACAGACAGATCACCGCGCAAGTATAGATGCTCACAACAGCGTAGGCCATGTGCGTAGGCTGATGGTGGCCTCTACTGATATATACATATTGGTGTGCTTTATAAACAAAAACAATGGCATAACATGGCAATAACAATCATTAACTGTCCCTGTTATATGGTGTCTGATCTCATCCACTGCTCGGAGGGAAAGGAGCTCCCAGACCTCATTGTTTTTCCCAATATGCAGATATTTACAGCCACTGTTCCTCTTCTTTGAGTTAACTGCTGACTGCTAACAGCTACTTTTAAAATCTCCTGGGGTGGGTCGCACACATAGCACATTGTCAAAATGTCACAACTGTCCTGCCCATAATCCCATCTTTCCAGCTGTCCTGTTTATACAGACATCATTTTGGCACTGTAACTACCTCTTGTGGCGGCTTAAAGGTGAGACAACTCTCCCCCATACCTTATGCAAAGAATAACAGGCGACATAACGGCGGGATATTCCTGCTTTGAATAGACAGTGAAAAAGGGAATACAGTCTGTGAAAAAAAATCATGTCTCTCCTCCCCTCCTACTGCCTCCAATGGCTTTCGCTAGTCAGACTGCGGCTCTGTCAGTAACAGCCAATCAGAGCCAAGGAGTCTCTAACACAGTTGTCAGTTGTGTAAATCACTACTTGTGAACTGCAGTCAAACTGTCAAACTAGGCAGTGTTGATCAAATATGAATCGAGATTCTGTTATTTTATTGCCCATTTCTCACCTCAGATGTTTCCAGAAACATATTTTAGTGACTGTTAAGCTGGAAAATGAAAAAGTTGATCCTGCTGGTGGGCAATGCTTGGTCCTCCATTTAACTGTATCCAACATGGCAGCCAGGTTACAAAATGTCTCATTCTACAGTGAAACGGTCACTGAAAGGTGTTACTGAAAACATGTGAGATGAGAAATAGGCAATGCATTTACAGAACATTGATTCATATTTGATCCTACCTGAGCCTTAAGTAGCAGTGACTGAAATGACTGATGTTAGAGACTCTTCGGCTCTGATTGGTTGTTTTCATTCACGTGCAGTAAGGACATTAGAGATACTATAAAACAGCAAAACAGCAGGCAGTGGACTATTTTTTTAACAGATGATTTGTCTCATTTAGTGCTATGTGAACATAGTGACAGTTACCAAAAGTTACTTACTGTAGCTTTGGGTCCTTTAACATACTGTATATGAAGACATTAAAGATTTCCTGATTTTGGTTTAGAGTGAGTTGTCAAATGATGGTGAAAAAATGTTATATTTGTCAGTAGTACTACAATAATTAATCAAGTAATTGCCAACTATTAAATTAACTGCCACCCAATTTGATAATTGATAAATCTGGTTGATAACTGATATTATTATTGCTATTCAAAAGGCAAGATTCTCTGATTGATTCCTGTTTCTTAAGTGTGAATATTGTCTGATTTCTTTTCTTTTCTCCTCTCCTCATACTCCTCATACTTCTTTCTTTGATACAAACTAGGACCACCCTTCTTGAATCTGGTCATGTGTCTAATGTAGGCTAAACTGAAGACTGACCCTTTACCACATCCTGAATTACATGCAGTTAACACTGAGCAGCATCTTAAACAATCCTCTGATCTCTCTTAATGTGACAGGCACCTAAAGACACAAGGTGTGACCTCCTGTTTTAGAATTAGTGATGCGTCTGTACCATGCAGCTTTTGCATTGATGTTTCTCGCTCTTTGATGCCGTGTAAAGCTCTTCCAAGGTGAATCTCTTCTGTTAAGGTAGATTTATAAATACATTTGAGTCGACTCCTCTCCGTATCCTCACAACTCACTGCTGCTTTGGCGTTGAGAGAATTTCCTTTGATATGGTAAATGTAGGATTTGACTTTGACTCACCTTGTCCTAACAGAGAGCAGGAAGCAGGGATATGTGGAGGTGTTCAGATGAAGACTGACATGGTGTGTTTGAGATGAGGGGTGTGTATGTTCATGGCCTCTTACCTTGAGTTCATCTGCATCGTAGAAGCTGACTTGCACAGATGGGACCATCCAGGACTGAAACAGAGAGCTCAGGATGCGGTTGGCTACTGTGTCGGTGATGAAATGAAAGTGGAGAGGATTTCTCCTGAGAAATAGAAAGAAAAAGAGATGTCAATGTTGTTTCCTTCTGGGAAACAGGGTGATTATGTTCCACTGACACAGCTCCTTCTTCAACAATAAAGCTTATCTGGCTGGCAGTTTAGTGTTTGGGGCAGATTTGGGCTGGGATGGTCTCAAAGCATCAGTGTCCTCATTTACCATGCAGCTAATACCACCTTTTTTTAATCAAGGTTTATTTTTCAGTTTTTATAACAAACAAAACAGTCAATGCAGCAGGCAATGGACTCATAACAGCAGCAAAATTCAAGAGCCCTCCAATTACCCACCCATCCACTACACAGACCCTTCCCACCCTAAACTAAATAAATGAAGAGGAGAAAAGAATAACTAAAAAAATTGTTTTTAAACACAAAATAAAAGTTTTAGGTACCACTTTAAACAACTCAAACCATCTACCAGCTTTATTTGATTTTTTTTCTTTCTTTTCTTTCCCTGCCATTGTTGAGATATTCCGGGAATCCGTGTTTTCACTGTTATAAGATAGGGGGCACTGTTACACATCTTGTGAAAAAGAACAACACTGCTGTGTCCAAAAACAAAGGAAGAAGATGCGCTAGAAACCAGGTGTTGTTTCCAGAAATGTAGCAGCTTGTGAACTGCAAGAAAAATTCCAGCGCCGACAGAAAAGTTTGCAGGTGTGCAAGCCATGGAGATGTTGATGGGACTCAGATGGCGATAATTCCTGTTAGATCAACATTCTGAATCCGATTTGGACGAAAGAGCAAATGAGTTTGGTGGGACAAAACCGGATCTCCATGACGGTGACAGTGACACATGGACAAGACGACCACAGAGGAGAGGGAGGCAACGGGACACTGAACGATCACGGAATATGACTACGTGTTCTGCTATACCTCAACGAGAATATTATTTTCATTATTATTGTTATTTTCTTTTATACAATTCAAAGTGACATAAGGAGATGAAACAAAACAAACAAAAAATGTAAATGTAAAATTGACTTTGTATTTGACAATGACTGTCCTTGACAAAAAAAATTTTTTTAAATGCAAAAATACTGTTCGCATATTCATAGAACAGATTATTCTGTTGGTCTTGAAATATTAGTGAATATGATAAAAAATGCTGGTGGTGCTCATTTGAAATTGAAATTAAAATCAGTTTCAAATATAGCTAAAAAGAACATCCAATTCATTCTCAAACCAACAGCACTTCAAACAGGTTGCGGTCAAATATAAGAAAAAATAACTACATTGATGTTTTAATCCTTGAAAGGCTCTATATCTATATCTATAAAAGGAACAAATCCATGAGAGCAGTGGTGAATGAGGTCAGATCCAGAAAATGGCAACAAAACCCTTCAATCTTCTCAGCGTATAAATCCTGAGAATTAGAGGTGTTAGAAAAATAGGACAGCCATCTCTTCACTGTTTTACAGTAAAACTAAATATATTAAGGTACTGTAATAAGCGTTAATTAATGCTTAATAAGCACCAACAGTTAATGAGCACGTACAAGATGTTTATTATCATTGATAAGACTATGTAAGTGTTAATTATAGCATAATTAACACAGTTGTTATTGCATATAGGAGCATTATAAGCACTTAATAGAAACTTAATAATAATAATAATAATAATAACTTTAATTTATATAGCGCCTTTCAAAAAACCCAAGGTCACTTTACAATACATAGTAAGGAAGGAAGGAAACAATAACACCAACAGAACAGTACAATACAACACAAGCAGTACAGAAAAGCAACAAAACTATAACAAACAACAGAAGAAAGCAAAGAATCTGTGTGATGGTACACTGGGCATGAGATGGATTATCGAATTAAAAAGCCATGGTGAACAGATGAGCAGGAGCGCAGAGATCTGGACAGAGTGTAGGAGTGGAGAAGGTCCGTTATGTACTGTGGGGCGAGGGCATGGAGGGACTTGTAGGTGAGGAGGAGGATTTTGTAGATTATGCAGGACTTGACTGGGAGCCAGTGGAGAGGGTGGGGGTGATGCCAGGGCTTGATAACAGTTTATAAAGCTGTCCTAAATATTAATTAATAAAATGTCTATTTACATTAATTATGATTTATAAGGTTTAATTATAGAATAATAACCACATTTATTACTGGTTTATAAGACACTATAAGATTCTATCAGATTAAATTAATAAGGTGTTATTAATAGTTAATAATGATCCTTTGCAGCTACCGGATCTAAAGTGGGAACAGTGTCGTATAAATAATTAATATGCTCTCAGGGCTCAAAACAGTGTCCAGACATCCTGGGGACTATAAAAATTGCTACTGGGACACAAAGATGATGTGTCTGGGTCAATTCCGGGACAGAAAAAAAAAATCAAAGCAATATGGAAATGGGTGTTATTTACAACGTCATTACGTATGGGTATCTGAACGTCGCTTTTGTTGCTTGAATAATTTCAATAAAAACTTATGAACAGCAAAAATACAGCGGCTTTTGCTGCTCCTGATCTGGCTCCACATGCGTGCGCATGAACACACACTGAACTCAACTCTGCATGACAGTCACGCTGGGTCTGAAGACGATGTTTTCTGTTTCTGCCCCTGTGGTAAATTAGTTTGTTAAAGTAGGCTATAGGCTAATGTTAGCTTGTTGATTTTTAGCTAGTTGACCTCAGGGTCGAAGATCATCTCAGTTTTTTTTGTGGTTAATACAACATAGTTGTTATCACACCAGGTCTTAAAAGTGGCTATCTCACTGAAATACACAGAGGGGCAAACATTCACATCTAACAGGCTCAAGATGATGGTGTCATCTGAAAATCTGATGACATGATTGTTGGGATGTGAACTCCTACATTCATTGGTGTACAATGTAAAGAGTACAGGAGAACTGACACAGCCCTGAGGCACACCTGTGCTACACTGTTTTACTGCTGAGAGTGAGCTGTTCACTTTGACTTGTTGGGTCCTATTTGTTAAGAAAGAATAAAACCCTTTAATGATAAGAGAATTCACCTTCATGTTGATTAACTTCTGATTGATCAGGTAGGGTTGGACTGTGTTAAAAGCTGAACTAAAATCTGCAAATAAAACTCTAGCATATGCTTTGGGGTCCTCTTGATGCTTATTAATTAAGTGAGTGACAGAAATAGCTGCATCCTCAGTGCTATGACCCTGTCTGAAGGCAAACTGTAGAGGATCTAAACAACCAACAACCTCAGATTTAAGCATATTGACAATGATCCTTTCAAAACAATCATTGATATGTATGTGCTGGCGTTGTGGCGTTTGAATGAAAGTTGCTCACATGCTAGATGAGGAAAAGTTAATATACCAGGTTTATACTTACTAAATCTGTGCTAAAAATCAGTCTGGCGTTTACATGCAACATGACTGATAAAGGAGCGATGTCAATGCGACAAAGGGACAAGAAAGAAACTGAAAATAGCGATCTGAACGCTATCATGGCAGAACTCAGGTCACACCGTGAAGAGTTTAGACGCTCAAATCACAGAGCGCTTCCTTCAAAGTACAGATTAATGAGGTGCATTCCTCCCTCGACAAACTTTTGGACTGTAAGGTTGAACGGCTAGAGCAACTTATTGCAGAAAACCGCGAGGAATTTAAAGCGGAACTGGACAATAAAATAAGGCAAGTTCAAGACAACCATGATTTGGACATTGGACAGCTCTCAGCTAGAATGGATACGATGAAGATAAAACTGGATGAAGCAAAGCACAGAACCCTTTGTGAGGTACAATTTTAACAAAGACAAAGATCTCTTTGTGCACAGCTACGTTCAGGAACATTAACTCTAGCTCTAGGGACTGGTAGGTTTAGTAACTGTCCAGAAGAGGACAGACTTCGTTTATTGTGTGAATTAGGGGAAATTGAGAACGAAGTTCATTTTTTGTTTTATTGTCCTGCTTAGGAGGCTGAGAGGGAGGTATTATTAAGTAGAATGTCTTCCTTCTATGTTTCTTTCTTTGAGTTGGATGATTATGAAAAGCTTGAACTATGTTTCAGGAAGGGAACCTTTTTTGTTGCAGATTTTGTTTGCAAGGCCTGGGAGAGAAGGCAGAATATTTTGTTCAAGAATGAGCTGTTATAGTATCTTTGTTTCTTTTTTGTTATTTTGAAATGAACTGAATTGTTATGAATTACCTGTGAACGCTGCAACTATCTCTTTTGGTGTCTTATAAACCCATGAGGGTTGGGAACTTTTAGGTGCATGACACGGGAATAAAAGAAACTAAACTAAACTAATAACAACAGATGTTAAAGAGAGAGGTCTGTAGTCATTATTCACAGCTGGACATGAAACCTTAGGGACTGGAACAATGACAGATCCACAGACCTGGCACTGTGTGACTGTTGAGTGACCGTTGAAAAATGGGACATCAGGTAACAGATAATTCCACAGCACCACTTTTTAACAAAAAGGCAGGCTAGCCCTCGGGACCTGTTGATTTTCTTTTGCAAGCTTTGCTAAAGACAGCCTGCACCTGCTGTGGTGAAATTAAGAGGTCACGTTTCCCTGTAGGATTCAAAGTGTCTAAAATCTCCTTCACCTTTTAAATATTAGTCAATCCTGAAAGACTATCTTCTCATGTAAACATATAAACATTTAGAATTACAGCCTTGTGATTGTACTCCTGCCATGGCAGTTGTCAATGCTTTAAATGTTGCTGCAAAGAAGCTACATATCGGCAGAACAGAAGACTGAAACAATCAGCACAGTTTCAAGGTGGACACCCAAGATTAGTGTCACCAATTTAGTATCTGATCACTGGTCTCCCCTTCTATCCCTCAGACAAGATGTTGACTAACGGCCAGAAAAGTTATTTTGCAGACCATTATGATGTCACTGTGAAGTTGACCTTTCACCTGTTGGATATAAAATGTCATCACTTAATCATCTTGTTCTATTTAACATCAGAATTAACGTATGAATTCTTGAGTCATGGCCAAAAACATGTTTTGTGAGGTCACACTGACCTTTGACCACCAAACTCCACTCAGTTCACCCTTTTGTCCAAGGGGATGTTTTTGCCAAATTTGAGGAGGTTCCTGCAAGGTGTTGCAGAGATATCTCATTCATGAGAATGAGATGAATACAAGGGCACTTGTTGAAACTGTAAAGGACTGAAATAAAAAAGTAATCTTGCTTCAAATATTGAAGAAATGTGTCATCTTTAACTTTTTGCCTTTTAGTAATCAGTTCATCTTTTACTTGCTTAGCTGTTCACAGTCGATGAAATTTTGATCAGGGGTGCCCAAACTTTTGCATGCAACACATAGGTACAGAAGTGCATACTGATGAACAACCTGAAAACAGAAACCCTCCAGCCATGGTAATTGCCAGTTCAGAAGCACAGAAATACAGATAATTTTAATTTGGCACTTTTAAATTGGAGGGAAATGAGACTATGACGAAGAGAGTTTTCCTGGACTTCCAGTGCTGCATCCTTTCTTTTACAAAATCTATCTTGATATTTTTCTTTCCGGTCTGCTACTATTCAAGGATTTTCAAGGCTTGTACAAATCCAGGTATGGCCACGTCCACTTCAGCTTCAAAGAAAGAAAGAAAAAGCTGAAGTGGAGTTGAAAACAAGTTTGTAGGTTCAGGGGCAGAGAGGAAGGAAGAGATTAAGGAAAGGTCTGTTGAACAAAAGGTCAGCCTAATAACATTTAACTGTTCTGAAGGAATCAACTCACCTGTGAAAGAGGACAGACTTGACCAGCGTGACCACATCCCTGCTGGCGTTGTGACCAGCACAAACGCACGCTACATGGATCAGCTGTGGAGACAGAAGGCAGGATGATGCAGTAGCCACCATGAAGAAGTTTAACAGCTCAGAGTTTCACCAAGAGGCAAACAGAAGTCATTTCACTACACTCGTCTACACTTAAACACTGTGGGTGCTGACAGCTTTCATCACAAGTTCACAGCGTCCTTCTGTCTGTAATTCAAGTCTTTTTTTTAGCAGAATGAAATGACAACATGCAACCACAATCCCAACAACTTAGTTGTGAGTTTTTGCTTCTGTAAATCTAAAAAAAAAAAAACCCAGAAGTTTCACTTTTTGGTTTCTGAGCCGTCACCCCCTTTGGGAGATACAAGCAGCTTACCCCGACAACTTCACACAACAGGACATTCACTCCCCTGTCTGATGTGAAATTTCATATTTAGCCTCTCAGATATGTATGATTTCACGTCACTTGCTTTTCAGCAGCAAAAAGTCTTTGATGTGGTTTCCAGCCTTTGAGCTCCAACTTTTCAAAGAGCAAGTGTGTTCCCTCGGATTTTAGTCCCTGTCAACTTTCTCCTGGCTTCTTCATCGATTAGTTTGTATTAACTGCTGGGATACGCTGAGGTGTGGTGGTAATTTATTTAATGTAGTTTACAGTAAATATACACAAAAACTCTCATTTGGATATATTTTTCACACAACACAATCATTGTTCAACCAGCACTGCTTGTATTTACCATGTAAATGTATTGTGTCACTGTGGTGCTAACTGGTGCATTTAAAGGAATTTTCTGAGATGCACAAGACAGCCTGTGACCTTTGGTGACCTCTAGCAGTAACCAGCAGGAAGTGCAGCAAGATTGACAGCTTCAAGTGCAATGGCCTGTAGCTGACATACACAAATAAGTAACACCTCTTGTGTTAGTTGTATTGTATTAACTGATAACGTTAATAGTTTGGAGTACATTCACACTGAAACAAGACTTGAGGTGTAGTCAGACCAAAGGCAAAGCAAACTTTTCACGCAGTATTTAATACAAAGTCAATGCAAAGACACACAGTTGCCCTGGGTGAGTTGAAACCTTTCAACCTAAGCAACCTTGCGTGATACTGTGTCAATAAAGCCTATCAGCATTGAAATTCTCCTACCATTACCAAAAATCAGAAATGGAGGACTTCTTTACTGTTGCTGTCTGTGAGCATCAGAAGTTCTACAACACGTCAGTACTGTACAAAGAGGGCTCTGAAAAAAGTAAACAAAGCCATATAACTATACTTGCTTGATTTCAACTATCAGTTTTACTTTACTGCGAAATAAGTTAGTGCTAATGTTAGCGTTAGCGAATGTCTGAACCGTGAGTCACCACAATCCATTCTATTGCTGCTGCTGTTTTCCTCAAAACCACAAATATGAACCTCATGGTGGTGCTGGAGATGAAGTCTGAGGATCATCAAAATTCATCATCTGGGAACCAAATTTTGTTATACTCTTTTGAATAGTTGTTGAGATATTTCAGTCAAGACCAAAGTGGTGAACATAAATGGATTATACTTAGTATACCGGTATAAAGCTAAAACTTTGAGTGTGGTATTTTTTGACACTGTCCTCCATTTTAATGCTCAAAAGAAAAGAAGGAGCTCATCACACCTGGACAAAAGTGCAAAAATTGTGGTTGGCAGACTGCCGGCTTAAGTCATGAATAAGTTAGGGAGGGAGCCGGTGAGGAACTATTATCTGATGGTTGGCAGTTATGCATTAAAATCATGAAACAGGACACCTCACACAAAGATCTGGTATACTGTTTAACAACTGTTCTAAATCAGTGCACACTCTGAAATTCCATGTAACCAAAGCAGAAATACTGATGCTGAATGCAGTATAACTGGATAAAAACCCTGAATCTATGGGTGACACTGACAACAAACTTTTAAGTTATGTTTTTAGCAGCTTGACTTGTATCTTTTGGCATAAGTGTGTTAATACATTTGGAGGTATCCTGAAATAGAAAGTAATACTTTTCACTTCTGCCTTGTCTTTTATGAGGACATCTTGTTGTGTTCTATTGTTTCCAAGTGTTGATTGTTGCGTTTGCTGACCTCACACTTCTGGACGGTGGGTGATCGAGGACACTCCGTATGGTTGTTCTTCTCCTCCGCCGTGTTGTCCCCGTCCTCTGGTCCCGTGTCTGCGGAGGCTCCCCACTGCTGGTTGCCATAATTACCATCCGGCACCTGGGCAGCGGTGCCTTGTGATTGGCTGAGCTGCAGCCGGATCTGTCGATTCTCTTCCTCCACTTCTCGAACCCGAGACTCGAGGACGGCTCGCTCTAGGACTTGAGCTGCTGGTGTGTCGGCCAGACAGGGAGCCAGGAGGAGGGAGCGCCCATCTGTGGAGGTAGACAGAGAGACTGTCAGACTCTGCAGCGTATTTCAAAGACTAATACTTATTTTCATTTGCTAAAATGTCATACTGTTTGTTATTTACACTGCAGCCCAGTGGAGGCACATATTCAGGCTCAATTACCAGAACCTCAAAACTGTACACCTTTGTATAAAGATACATGAAATCACTGAACCATGACAGGAAATGCAGATGTTTTCCTCAAAGGTGACACTAATATCTGCAGTTATATTTTAACATATCCAGAATAGCAGCTGCTAACAGGCTCTGTCTTCTAAGTCTTCTCTTCTAAGTGTAAACCTGAACTCCAGGCGCCAAATCATCACTTCACAAACTTCAAGGTGACATCACGTTTTCACATTTTTCTTCTTCATGGTACAGAGAATTTGTAAGTGACATGTTCTTGTGAGTCTAACACTCGAAAATTGGTTCATCACACTTCTTTCTCTCCTTTCTCTGCACCTTCTTTCAGCCCTCCCTCTTTTCTGACAAACTGGGGTGTAAATATTCCCTCAGAGTGCTTCAGGTCGGGCTGTGGAACAGTCTGTTACTGAGGACACTAAAAATGTGAGTACTAGCAGAGATGTGTGCTTTACTGAGTCCTTTCTGAGGCCTTATTTGAAAATATATCGGTTAGGATTAATTTTAAGTAGTAGTAACTATTACTCAGGTGAAAAAATTCCACCTTTAAACTTAAAACTTGGCTTTTCCCGTGTGATAACTATCGATATCGACTGGTATGATATTTTTTATCGTGATAATATTTTTGGCATTATTGCCCAGCCCTAGTGTAACTGTAGGCCATAATAACATTTTAACCGGTGAGTTATAAAAAAAATTCACCCCCTGTGCAGTTGTCATGAACTGAGAACTTAGCCATAGAGACCAAACCCCATTTTTTTATACTAGGCTGCAAACTTGTTTACTGCTGTAAAATTGGGCATTTTAACATGGGGTCTATGGGGATTGACTGGCTTCTGAAGTCAGCCTCAAGTGGCCATTAGAGGAACTGCAGTTTTAGCACTTCTGTGTTGGCTTCATTTTTCAGCCCCGGAGGTTGCTGCTTGGTGGGCACTAACATCAATATAATGGTCAGGGAATAAAAATGTTTTAAAATCCCTACTGACATTTAAATCAAGGTACTCTATAGTTTCTACCGTAAAACTTCAATTAAAAGCCTAGTCCCAGTTAAACACCCAGTCTCTTTTACTAGCCTGGTGTAGACAAATTTTGACGGAAAAAAAAAAAAAAAAAAAGGCCTGTATGTACCGGTATGGCGAAAAAACAAGTGGTGACTCCCTTCCTCCGAGGCTGTCATAAAGTCAGAATATGTGTCCATTCCTTGATTACCCAGTAAGTTATTTATATTTCTCTTGTCAGTAAGGGTCTACTGATCAAAAGAATCAAAAGTATTTTTATAACAATCAGTTCAAGTTATGAATATTGTTGTGACAGGAAAAAGTGTTGTGTCGGTATGCTGGGTACTGTAACCCTCAAGTGCTGTAAAACGAGTGTCATAGCATAACGCATGATTGATTTGTTATTCGAAGCATACTTCTTGTACAAGTAATATTCATACTGGTTCAAATACACAATTTAATCATATTTCCCATCTTTGCTGAGCAACAGTTTTTTGTAAAAGGAATTAAAGGCCTATTCCATATAGACGCCTGTCCCAAATATAAGCCTGTTGAGTTCAGTGATTTAAGCAAATAATAGCCCAGGCTATTAATTGAAGTTTTTTTGTATCCAACCTCTTGACAGTTAGACTAACAAGGAAAGAGGCAGAGAGAAGGCGAATAAAAGACGGTGGCAATACAGAGCCTGCAAAAAAAAAAAAATTCATTCAATTCATTCTATCTGTTGATTGTTAAGAGGCTCAGGGGTCTCTAGTACTGATGAACCTCCAGAGAATAATCAGTTGAATCTGCAGCTCCCCTCAGCTTTACAGAGCTTTGAAGTAAGTTTCAGCTCATTTTTTATCTGTCTGACTCACTTCACTGTTCTGGTTCACTCAGAAAAAACACTGTAAAAAGCCACTGTACGCTATCTGCTCAGCAGCAAATGGCGACAGACACAGTTATAGACAAGCTGGTGAAGAAAGTGGAACATTTAGCAGCTACAGAGACTGGTTTCCCTCAATAGCTGGTGGAGACCAAAAACAGAGGTAAAAGAGAGTGACTATTGGACTTAAACAAACACAAATCCTCCAAATAAATGATCATGCTGCTGGGTAACCACTAGATGTGGAACTAAACAAGTTCAACATATCAACTTAAGAAGGTGACAGTATGGTAATGTTGTGTTCACTTCCTTGTTTCTGTTAAAAACTGTTTAAAAATCAGTTATTGCCAGTCACAGGTTGGCTGCTTCTTTCATGAGAAAACCACAGACATATGTAAGCTACGACAAAACATGTTCAGCCTGATACTCTGAGTTAATTTGATGTAATGGTTCTAATAGTCACAACCACCAAAAACAGAGCAGTTATTTGTTCTATTGTTGTTTCCTGATTTTAACCTCAGACTCCGTACTCGGGCGCATGGAAATGTTACACGGCCAGAGAGGGCAGTGAAAAAACCACAAAACTCAGAAGATGTTTTTAATTCATGTTTTCTTGTGAATATTTAAATTCTGCCAGGAGCTTTAATGCATCTCTCTCTCTCTCTCTCTCTCTCACACACACACACACACACACACACACACACACACACACAGTATTTTATTTGGACTCCCTCATACACCGTCCTACTGCCCCACATACTCACTAGAGCACCAAATGTGGATTAATCTGCAACTGAAAATAGTCCCTAACAAATGCACTTTTTCTTCCTGTTTGTTAAATAAACTCTGCATTGACCAGCGTGAGTATTCCTTCTCTGTCCCTCTTTTCTTTTTCTTGCTCTCCCTCTCTTTATCTTTTACTGTCTTCCACTTCCTTCCCTCTGTATCTGTCTTTATCTGTAGTTCTGCTTTCATCTCTTCTTCATCCTCTTCTCTGTGTCCTGTCTCTCATACATTTCTCCTCCATCCATCTTTCTCTCCATATCCTTCTCTACTTTCCCTCTATCTCTCCATCTATCTCTGATCATATCCCATTTTCATTCTCTCTTTGTCTACTTTATGTCTGTTTCTCTTTGCCTCCATCTCCTCTACCTCTTTTTGCTCTCTGTCTCTAATTTCCTCTGTCTCTGTCTTTCACTTTCACTCTCTCTTTCACCTCACTCACAGTCTCTGTCTTTCCCTCCTTCTCCTCCTCCTCCTCCTCCTCCGTCACCCTATTGGGGCAGCAGCTGGCCCACAGCTGAAGTGAGGCATGCTGGGAATGTTCACACCCTAATCTGAGAGGGTAGAAGGAGACAACAGCGACAACTTTCTGACTGTATATATATATATATATATATATATATACACACACACACACACACACACACACACACACACACAACAACAGCATTCAAAGGTAAGTTAACAAAATACTCGAGTGGCTCGATAAAGTGGCATAACATTAAAAAATGCAGGGTACAAGTGCTTTAGAACTGCACTTAGATAAATACTTTGCGCCACTGTGTATCATATATACTGTATATAAAGTACTAAGGTGTAAACCATTTTGATTTATTATACTCACATTGTAAAACTTGTGAAAATGATCTGGCAATACTGTATTTAACTACAGTCTTGCCAAAAAAGAATCTCTGAATCTGACAGGAAGGAAGAGACGGAGAGCGAGGAAGAGAAGGAGAAAGATAGAATGACCAAAATCTGATCTGCAGAGAAACATGTGGCAGCAGGAGACGCTGGTTATTTTTGAAGCCATGTGTTGCTGCTCAGAGCACAGACACGCTCCTAAAGCTCACTTCATCATGGCTACACTGCAGCGTAACAACTCATCAGCCATCCATGTTTGAGAGAGAAATGATCATCAACAAAATGAATTCCTAAAATAAATTCCTGCACTGGTTGCGATCCAAGAATCACTGATAACATTAACATGTACATCAAATAGTAAATTAATGACCAGGAACTGTATATGTGTGTGTGTGTGTGTGTGTGTGTGTGTGTGTGTGCTGTCTAAGAAAAACAAATGGCTATGGCACCCAGTCAGTTTCGCACAGGAACTAGACAACTGGTATAAATCCATCTGTTTTGGTATGCTTTCTATGTACATATTAGATCTGAGTGAAAACTCCATGTCTGTGTGAAGGAATTTTGATTCTGTGTCTCATCAGTATGTTTCACATGCATTAATATGTAGTTGATCGGAGAAGCATCAGTGCCCTTCACCCTTAGCGTGTTTTATGTTGAGAGACTCTAGCTTCTGAAAGAAAAGATGTCGACCTTGTTGATGCTCAAGAGTCTTAATGACGTGGGACAGACACTGTACAAGGCTGAAGGGCTTGTTTTGTGCTTTTAGTTATTGGCATGTCTCTGTCCACACACACATGCTGTGCCTAAGACTTCTCTGATAACATAATGGTGTTGTCATTAAACTTAAATAGTCAAGTAGGAACAACTAAGGCTCAATGAGTTTATTTAAATTAGGTTTTCCACATCAGGTGTAATGTAACAAAGTTATAATATGTTGTCACACTGCTTGGGTAATTTTTGGGAGTATCTGTACTTAACTTGAGTTTTTATGTTTCTCTCAACTTTTAGTTTTACTCCACTAAATTTCCTAAATAAAATGTATAATTTTACTCCAATACATTTTGATGTATTGGAGTAAAGGGCAGTTATTAACATAATACATGATTGGATTTGGTGACTTACATAGACACCTCAATAATCGAAAAAAATAGTATGACAAAGAAATTTACTTAAATTGACTGAAAACACTCTTTGTCACTGAACTCCACTAAAACACGTCCAATCTCTGTGGAATTTCAGGTCACTGTTTGGCTGTATTGTGGTCAACTGGTCAGAAGCACTAAAGGATTGACCATGTGTAACCACTTAAAAAGTCTGTGTAACAGTTTACCCCATGTTAGGTTGTGCCCCGCTCTCCCCTATGTTTAACTGTAATGATGTTGCATGTAAACCCCATCTCAGTTATAGTAGACATCTATAAAAACACCGCAGGGTGCAGGTGGATCAGAAGAGGCTAATTCATTCATCAAAGAACACAAATGCATTTCAGGTGGTAAGCATCACTGAAATGCAATAATGTAACAGAATCACTAAACATAATTGATAATGTCATCCGGTGTCCATATAATAATATGATATAAAGAGAGCTGATGGAAACAAGCTGTTTCATATTTCATTTTGAAACATTTGAAAGGAAACAAATAATCCAAGTGTTCTGATTGGGTAACTTGATCATGTGTTTGCACTCTGATTCTCTAGTTAAATGTCACATTGTTTCAGTAAAATTCTTCCACTCTTCCACTGTTTGTTACTTCATTGTGTGAAGGATATCAGCTACTGGCCACATATTTATTGTACAAAATGAACTTTCAATCTCAAACATCTGCAACTGAAAGCTCCAGAATAGCTACTACATGGACCTTGTAGTGAAAATGTTTTGCTAACTGCTGTTTCTAAAACCAAGACTGAATTCTAAATCTCAGCATAGGATTATATTAAAACCATGAACACTAAAAGCTTTGCTTGGATTCTTTATTACATCTGGTAATTGTGATATTGAACATTTTCACTTATTATGCTCTCCATACAGCTGCTCTGTCCATAAAACTGGAAAGGATTTATTACAAATTTTCTTTTTATTGTATAAGCCAGATGGTGGAGCTAGAAATAAGAAGGAAACTGGAATCATCCTCTGGAGAACATGAACATCCACAGACAATTTTGTGTCTATCTGGTAAGAAGTTGTCTCAAAGTCTTGTTGGTTTTTATGTTTCAGTTCAGTGTGAGTGGGTTGTCTGAGTGTGTGTGTGTGTGTGTGTGTGTGTGTGTGTGTTTTTTCTAAAAGCTCTTCCAGGAGACAGCATGGCAGCATTGTGGCAAAGAAAACTCTCTGATCTGACCCTGGCTGCTGTGATCCAAACAAAAGCGCTGACTGCGGCTCACTGATGCGGCCTTAGTGGCTCCCTGGGATGTCAGAATGAAAAATCAAACTGAACAGAAAATAAGCTCTGTGTGTTTAAAAATTGAACTTAATAGTCGGATCGAACAGGAATTGAGCTGAGTCGCAAAAAAATGTCTGATAATTGATGTTTTCTGTTTTCACTGGTTGGATTCCTGCGACTCTATCTGACCCAAACCACAGCTTCAGGCTTTTATTATAAATCAGCTTTTGACTTTTCAAACCCAATCTCCATGAAAATTACACAGTTAGCTTTCTCAGATTCTACTGAATAATGAGAAATGCCTGGCAGAACTAATCTTTCCCTTTAATGTGCGCATATGTCTCTGAATGAGCTCATACTCACTCTCCAGGTTTCCAGCCAGCAGGTAGAGCCAGGTGAGCAGGACGATGGCAGTGAGAGACGCCACCAGCAGCTTCAGGCGCCCACGGCACAGCAGGTTCATGATGGGATGGCGGCACTGAGGGCTCTGAGGGTCGGGGAGAGGAGGGGGAGGGGGTTCAGGTAGGGCTCAGTCCCTCGTCGAGTCCCTGCAGCATCCTTTCAACTAAAGAGAGAAAAAGATTGACTCAATAAAACAGCTTGAACTCCACTGCAACTGGAATCACTACACCACAAAAACATACATCTGAACAAATGTTTGTCTCTCATTAAACTGTATAAGTATTATTTTTAGTTTTTTAAGTGATCACTTGACCTGTTTTCAATATAAATTGACCCAACATTGATCATCTTGATACAATCCAATGTTCTGCTGGGAAATCTTGGGTCCTGGTATTCAGGTGGATGGTACTTGACACACACCACCCACCCAAACATTGTTGCACTGCTCAGGAATGACCCGAGGAATGTGACACAGAGCTCAAAGCGTCGACCTGGCCTTTCAAATTCCCCAGACCCCAATCTAGTCATGCATTCATGAACGTGCAAGTTCCCCAAAGTTACCCCCAATCCACAGTGGGGCTTTCTTGGATTGAACTTGGCTCCGTGCCAAGGCATGGACTCAGGACCTCTAATGTCCTGTGGTGTCTGGCACTGGGGCGTTGGTGGTGGATCCTTTGGTTGTGAGATGGGGTACCAGCACATCCCACAGACGCTTGATCAGATTTCGGTCTGGGGAATTTGGAGGCCAGGTCGACGCCTTGACCTCTTTGTCACGTTCCTCAGACCGTTTCTGAGCAGTTTTTGTAGTGTGGCATGGTGCATTCTCCTGGTGAGGGAGAATGCACCATGCCATCGGGGAGTGCCGTTGCCATGAGGAGAAGCACTTGGTCTGGAATAGTATTTGGGTGGAACGCGTCAAGTGGCATCCATATGAGTGTCAGGACCAATAGTTTACCATTAGAACACTGTACTATAACAAGATGATTAATGTGACTGACTTCAACCACCAGTGGTTTTAATGTTTCAGCTGATCGGTGTACAACAGCGGTGTTAGCCTGTTGGGTTGTTTTAGTGTTTTTCGACCCCTGGTGGACAAATATGGAGCAATGCAGCTTTAACCACCATATAAGGGACAATGATAAATAATACTCAACAAAATACCATAGTAGACATATATTTCTAAGGGAGTATTTCAATGCACATTAAACATATTAGAAAGTTAAGGTTAAGCTAAAACTGCAGTTTGTTGGTCGGCCCGATAGAGATGGTATTTGATTTCTGTCTGTGTATTAAAAAACAAAAACAAAAAAAGTAATCAAATAAATGACAATTTCCTAATAAAAAAAATGCAGTTTAGTTTGTAACTAGTGAGGATGTAATGATGTAAAGATGCTGTTTAAAAACACACACACCCCTCAGCTTCAGGCTGGCAGCCATGTCACTGCGCAGAGGACATCAAATGATCCTAAATTGTTTCAGTCTAATGAGGCTGAACTGAGCTGAGAGAGGGAGTCAATAAGTGTCACATTTGTAACATTTAAACATGGAAAATCTGAAAGGAGAAAAGCCAGAACAAGCTGTAGCAGCTCTCTAAACCCTCCCACCATCAGTCCATCTCTGTCTGAGGCGGCCTCCCTCTGTGTGCTGAGCCTGATTAGAGCGGGAGGTCTGCCTTTGTTTTACAATGTGATTCATTAATCCCAATTTAATTAGACAGAAGCCTGAAGGAAACAAAACCAACAGGAAACAGCAGAGTGTGAGTTTACAGCTGTAAGAAGGGAACTTTAAGCTGAATCCACACTGAGTTTACACGTTTCACTTGTTTCTGTCGGCTTTTTGAGTAAATACAGCGCTGGCTCTCTTCAGAATACAGCAGCAGAGAGAAACCAAATCTCTGAGAGATGTTCAGGATTAATGATTCACCAAACTGCAACCTGATCAGAGATTTGACAAAAACACCCCAACACTAATAATGTCCTGCTGAAACTGCTCTCTCTGACTTTCTGTGTAGGCCGAGGAAAAGCAGAGAGGCCCCAGAACAGAGCCATACTGCCAAATATAATACTGAAATGGAAATAAAGTTTTCTTTGACTACAGTGGTCCTGACTGAACTTTTATTTTATATTTTACTCATTGGTTTTATTCTTTTACGTTTTCTGGTTTATCTATTATTTCATTGTATTTTGTTGGTTTTACTCATGTTATATTGGCCTGTTTATCTCGTTCTGTTTTTAGTCCTTTTATTTATCTTTAATTATTTGTATTATCCTTCCTTTTAGTATTACTGTTTTGTTTAATTAAAAAAAAAATCAATTTTGAGTCGTGATTTTGTTTCTCTTATTGGTTTATTCTTATTTATTCTTAGGTATAATGCCACAAACTCAGTTTGTTGTGTGGGGTAGGTGAAACTGTGAAGAAGTT